TAGTTCCATGCACGGTGCCTCTTCCTCATCCTTCGATCAGCTGCCACGTGGTATCCGCCGCAAGCATGCGAGCTTCCATCATCAGAGACGACATCGAGGAGATGGGGGTGTGTTTTCTCCACGCCTGCGGAGCTATGGCACCACGGGTAAGTCACCCTGTGAAGTTGGCGCTCTGCTGCAGGTACCTCGAAGATGAAGCTGGAGCTATGGCGCCTCAGGTAAGTTTCCCTGGCCTCCACCAACCCCCTCTCTCCAGCACTACTCTAGCGCTGCTACTAGCGCCCAGCGCTGAAGACTACAACTAACGCTACTCCTGCAGCGCTCCTCCAGAGTGCTGTTGCCGAATTCTGAAGACTACTGCCGCCTCCTGAACTGCACGTGAAGTCCCTGTGAACTACCTGCCAACCTGCAGGGCGAGCCAGTCTTATATAGTGCTGACTCGTCCAAGAGGCTGCTCTTGCCCATGCCAAAACGTGCCAGACTTTGGCTCTGCAGCTCAGCCAGGGGTTGTCTTGGGAACAAGCCAAAAATAGCCTGTGCCTAGACCCCTGGTCAAGGCCGATCTGATGAGGGCCCGAAAATGGTCCTTCGTTTCGGGCTAAAAAGGCTCAGTCCCTTTTTAGGCTAAAACAATACAGGGCGTGTAGGGCCCTGTTTTCAGGCTTCTGAGCTGAACAGACATGGGGCCTGTAGGCCCTTAATTTCAGGCTTTCATCCTAAAATTCAGGCTTTTAGCCTGAAATTCTGGGCTTGAGCTTGAAGGAAGCAGGGCCTGGAAAATGGCCCTTGTGTGCAGGTGCAGCATGTAATAGTGAGTTAGGAGTAGTGAAGGAGCAGGCGGAGGCTAGGGAACTCAACTTAAGAAAATTGGATTGCAAGTCTGAAGCGGGAAAAGCAGCAAACGACGTGTGTGTTGTTCTGTCTTAATTATGTGCTATTGTAGGTTGCCGAAGTTTGTGGTGGGAATTGTTGATGATTGTTGTGTCTTGACTCTTCCTGTTTCTTTGTCTTTTGTCCCTGTGTGTTGTGTAGTGTGCACACTGTGTCCCAATCCACAAGGGCTATAATGCTTACGTCGAATGGTGATGCCCACCCGTCACAACCGGGGGAAGATACCAGGCGAACCTCCTCTGGGGCAGTGCACTTGTCGGGTTCCGTGACTCAACCTGCATTCTCTTCATCCCATGTCATGGTCCCTCACACCCTCTCCACGGTCCTCGTTCCTCTTTTCATGCGATGCGTACTCCAGTGACTCCACCGAGACCACAAATTCCACACTATCCATGGGGTGTGGAGTATTCTCGCAGTGTTGCTTCACCGTTCTCGACAATTCCTAACACCCCCACCGTTCCCTATCATCCTACCCACATGCTTCCCTTGCACTTCCCAGCCTACATGTTTCCTGGCATTCCTGGCTCTGCACATGCCTATGGGGAAAACCATGGTGACCAACACTTCATGCATGCTTCGGGTCCATATTTTGCAGGCACAACACCTAACACACCTGCCACTTTTTTCCCAATGACACATGACATTCATCCACCGCAAGAGATAATGCATGGATTGTCATCGAACCAACCTCATCACCCGTGTCCATCCCTATCACTTTGTCCTCATCACACGTATCCTTCCCACTCACTTGACCATCTGAATCACGATTTTGTTGTTACTCCACCATCCACACAGTTTCATGGGCACCTCTGAGAACGCCCACCACTGTTGCCTCGTGGCGTGGCGAGGTCCTTGCAGATTCCACCCGACAAACGCACGAGTGCGACACAAGCACTCCCATCCATGTGGACGCCTCACTTCCATTGGATAACACAGCATCCGGATCGCGAGCTGCACCAACACCATCATCACATGGATTGAGGACCACCATCACAACGTCTTTGGATATGCCATGTGGAATACGTGAACGTGTAGAAAGTGCAACAATTGATATCATCGGCGCATGCACACCATGTGCGTCCGACTTCCCATCAGGAAATATCTCAGCGGACGGTAGCCACGACTGCGACATTGGACCGCCGGGTGATACATACGACGACGAACACGCCGAGATAGCCTCACTACGCAGATATATGGCCTTCAGGAATGCGACATTCGTTGGACAGAGATCCCAACGGCCTCCAAAGCTTTCAGACAGCGGACCGTCAACAACGATCCCCGCACACGACAGGCACGGTCGGAGGCGGAGACAAACACAAAAGCAACCGTCTTATGAATCCTCTGACCGTGAGGCGTTCACATCAGGCGATGATCTGACCAGTCCTTATGGTGCGATGTGGAGGGATTTCAGACCGTTGGAAGTGGGAGGTCGTTATGAGTCTATGGATGCGTTGCGTGACGCGGTGGTGTTTTGTGATGTGGCATCTGGTTTCGAGTTCCGCCTCAAGAGATCGAACAAGACCAGGTACCATGTCACATGTGCTCACCCAGATTGCCCATGGACATTGGAGGGTAAAGCAGCACATGCTAATGGACACACGGAGATTGTTCGTCTGACTCCGCATCGCCCTGGTTGTAGACAATCAGTCCATCCCGACCTGAAATGCAAGAAACACGCGAAACAGAGGTGGGTGGAGCTTATGGTTGAGAAGAAGTTGCGAGAGGACATCGGAACGACTTCTACAAAGTTGAAGAAATGGTTTGACAAGGCAGTGAAGACCCACGCCAGCTACAACAAGTGTTTGCGAGCGAGGACGTATGTGCTTCGGACACTGAATGGGCCTCCGGAGGACGGGTTCAGCGACTTGCGAAGGTACTGCAGGGTGTTGCATGAAACAAACCCTGGATCCATCATCGACCTTGAGTGCGAGGGCAACGTCTTCGTTCGCATGTTTTTCGCGTTGGCCGCCTCTGTGACTGGATTCGCACATTGCAGACCTTTGATTGTGCTCGACGGGGCAAACATCAGAGGGAAATACGAGGGATGTCTTCTTGGCGCCACTGATCGAGATGCGAATGGCCAATGTTTCCCCCTGGCGTACGCGATTGTGGATGGCAAGAGGAAGACACATTGGAAGTGGTTTCTCGTCCTCCTAAAGCGCTTGTGTGCTGTAGCGAAGATGAACCACAAAATCGTGACAATAATGTCGGACTGGGACAAAGGGCTCATACCAGCAGTGAGTGAGGAGTTTGGGGATGAGCGGCACACATACTGTGTCCGCCATGTCAGTGGGAACCTCCTGAAGAGCTTGAGGCTGAAAAAGGAACAGGCGGCGATGCTCCTTGAAGCGGCGAGGGCGACTTGCGAGGAGGTTTTCGACTACTACATGCAGCGTGTCACTGGATATTCGAGGCACAAGAACATTGTCGACCAAATCTTTGACAAAGCGGACAAAAGGCATTGGGGAGGCCCCCATTTCGTCTATCCAAGGTATGGTAAAGTGATATCGTCTGTAGCCGAGTCCATGAACAGCAAGATGTTGGAGGTTCGTGGAAAGCCTCCAATACCAATGCTCGAGGGGTACAGGGGAATCGTGCAGACTTGGCATACAGAGAGGAGAGAGAAGGCTGCTGCAGAGAGGGGCAGATTCCCTTCGGTTGTGGAGAAGATCTTGAGAGAGACTGTGGAGTTGGCGAGGAAGTATGAAGTGCGAAAGGCATCGCTCTTTTTCAGAAATAAATCCTGCGTGACACGACCGTGAGGTTCAGCCCTCCCAGCGGGGTGCGGGACCGCCGCGCGCAACAACATGTATGAGATTGTTTGTGTGTGAGTGGCGGTAAAAATCGTGAGACAACCAAGTTCATAACATCGTAGTATATTTTGCTTTCCTTTCTTTAAAAAAAGACGATTTTTCAATGTTGTTGTTGTTATTGTTGTTGTTGTTTTTAATTGTCTTAAATACTGGAGTACTTGTCGGGGGACGAGCGACCTCCTAAAGTTGCGGCCGCTAAAGTGTCGCGACTGAAAATAAAAAAACGTTGGCTGAGGTACCGGTGGTTTAATAACATATGTTGTTTCTGCAAAAGAAATAGGTTCAAATAGCTACTTGTTGCTTAGGAACTTGAAGAAAGAAGATAAAATTGTACTCGATGGGAAAACGTTCATTGTTTTTTTGGGTAACTAGGGCGCTATCACGATAATAGTTTGAAAAATGCATTCCAAACACCCGTTTGGCACTTCAGTCACGGGCCGACTTCAACATTCAGTTGAAACTCGGGTCGCCGCACAGGGCACAAAAAACAGTTGTTTTTAGCAGTTAAGTCACGCCACGTAGGCCGGTACAGTCCCGACTGCGAGTGCTGTGAAAACCGGTACTTTTGGAAGCGGAGTGTGTTTTTTTTTGTTACCGTTACCGGAGTCCCTCCGAGAGCGTCAGCACAGCGACCGAAATGGCCTGGGCTGAAGGTGGCAAGCAGAACGACAGACGCGAACCCGGTAAGTTGTTCCCGCCATGCCTCTCTCTCTCTCTCTCACGCACACACACGGAATCTATGGTGCCAAGTATCCACCTCTCTCTCTCTCTCTCTCTCTCTCTCTCTCTCTCTCTCTCTCTCTCTCTCTCTCTCTCTCTCTCTCTCTCTCTCTCTCCTCCGCGCACGCGCGTGCGTCCACCATCCCCTCCCCCCCGTGGCGTTGTGCAAGCATCAATCGCGCAGTGGCGCCATGTGGCGGGTGGCCGCGCTCGAGAGATAGATAGATAGATAGATAGATAGATAGATAGATAGATAGATAGATAGATAGATAGAGAGAGAGAGAGAGAGAGAGAGAGAGAGAGAGAGAGAGAGAGAGAGAGAGGTGGAAACGACGGTGACACAGTCGGCTTCTGCCGGCGCCATGGACTTCGTGTGTGTGCGCGCTCGAGAGAGAAGGCTGTTCAACGAAAGTCAACACGCAAATTGTTGACCACAACCTTTGGGAGATCGTCCGCCATACGTGGGTGGAACAGGGGTTGTTGTTATGCAGATCTATAACTCACACACACACACACAGAGTTTTAGGACGACCTCTTTGGTGGGTAAGCACAACATTATTTACCTTGCTGCATGCTGACATTGCTAAGGGTGGCAGTGCACACACACACACACACCTGGTCTAGTAGCTCAGTGATTCCCAATGTGGTTGCAAGTCTTAACGTCGTGCACGCACCCTTCGGCCCGAGTTATCGAGGACGTCAGCACCTTCATATCGGCTGTTGTGTATTCGTTTACGTTGAGGTCGTGGTTGAGTCACAGGATTCGCCTTGCAAGCATCCTGCTCCGTCGTTTCGGGGTCTTCATCTTCAATCCCCTCGTCCTCGTCATCAGCCCCCCTAAGATCCACGACCTCCACCTCCACAGTTTTCCCCTTTTCATTGTCGTCCTTCAACTCATCATGCATGACCACCTTCTTTTTCACCACCTCCTCGTCATCCACCTCCTCTCCTTCCTTCTCCTCTCCATCGTCGATGTCGTCGTTGTCGTCCTCGACGGCCTCGACATCGGTCAAAACCTTATCTGGCTCCTCCTCTCCATCCTTGCTGTCCTCTCCTTCTTTCTCCACAAACTCCTCTCCATCCTTGTCGACGTTGGCCTCGTCCGAGTCCTTAATATTATCCTTATCCCCCTCATCGTCCTTTTCACCCCCTCCATCCTTGTTGTCGTTGTCCTCACCGTCGCCATCCCCGTCCTCGTTCGAGTCCTCAATCTGCTCCTTCTCCCCCTCCTCCTCGTTTTCGTCATCTTCCCCTTCGTCAGCATTGTTGTTATCCTTATCCAACTCCTCACCGTCGTCCCCGTCCATGTCCTCACTCTCGTCCTCGTCATCCCCCTCCTCGCCATCATCTTTGCCCAACCCTTTGTCTGTCCCGTGTCCCTCTCCATCTTCGTTGTCCTCGTCGGACAACCCTCATGCTCATGCGCTTCGGTCACAAATACCTCAAAGCCATCCACTGCGTGAGAGTTAAAGACTCCAAGATTATTATGCTCGTCCCCGAAACGCTCGTAAGTATGCATTCTATCTGGACCGTCACGCGCAAGTATGACATTCGCCGCCACGGCCACGTCACCAGAACGCACTCCATCAGCTGGCCTTGGTGTCCTGCATTTGCGGGCATTGTGGCCGGTAAGCCCGCAAAGGGAACACTTCTGCTTGTTTGCCCTTGGCTGGCTGACCCTCCCATTCTCAAGGCAACTCTTGATTGTGGCACTGGGGAGCCGTAACGTTGTTCGTACTTATAAGAGTAGTACGCCATCTTCCCAGGAGATGGCGTTCGCTCGCGTAGATCTTCTTGATGTCGCCTCAATCTCATTCTCTCCCACTTCTCCTCTTCCTCATCTTCTTCCTCTCGATCCTCTCTTTCCCTTGTTAAATCAATAGGTCTCTCTGTAGCCTTTCCTTGTCGTCCACCTCTTCCTCTTCCAACTCCTGATCCGCGCGGCATGGTTGGGGAAAGGTATTACTCGCGCACCTTCTTAGCAACCCACTGATTAAGGTATCGCCTATGTATAGCGATACGTACCCTTATTAAGGAATCTCAGTTTTTGTGGTGTAATATAATATACTTATCTACTTATCAAGAAGATCTAAATTAAAGATTTCAAAAGCAGGAGTATGCGAGGTCAATCATATTGATGAATATCAATATGGCGGGAAGGAATTGGCGCAGTTGACAATCCTCTCGCGCGGATGACAACTCGTTAAATCCTATTGTCTCGATTGACTCATCCGCTCACCGACTTTACTTTTATGAAGACTTAGTGAGCCTTAGCCTGCTAGTTTGCACGTTCCCTTAGGAATAGATAGGAAAGCAATCAACTCCCTGGAGAGGTGATAGAAGTGCAGACTAAGGCTCATAGGGATAATAGGCGAGATACTTTGGCTAACAAACGTCGTCTCTCAAAGCACTTCCCCAGACATGAGGTCGTATTAGTGGACCAATAATTGTTTCTAGCAGTTTTCTTCCTAATTAGTGGAAGTTTATATAGTACTCTATCTTTTGTCTGTCGTTTTGCTAGGGCTTCAATTAACCAGACCCAGGTCCGTTCACATAGGACCCCGGCAGACAACCGAAGGTCCCTATCAGCGCGATACCTGTTGGGATTGTCGGTGTGACTTCTCACCTCTACATATAACATTCTTTACTGTCTAGCCAATGATAAATCAACTAATATGTCACAAGCAATATTTATTTAAAGGTTGTCGTTTTGTCGTGATCATCGTTTAGTCATACCCGAGTCCGTTCACTAAGGACCTCGGCTGGAAAGCGAGATCCCCGACAACGACGCCACCTATCGCGCGTGGCGGTCCCGCAGCCCGCTGGGAGCGCTGAACCTCACGGTCGTGTCACACAGGATTTATTTCTGAAAAAGAACCGGTCACCACTCCGACCGTGTGCGCGTGCTATACCTCTCACGACGCCCTGCGACAGGTCGGGACGTCGCAAGGTACAACTTACCTCTACCTGAGGGGTTGTCACCACCCTCAGGTAGGCGTATCCCTACTGAGCTACCGACTCACATGCAAAGGTTTTTACATGCCTTTGTAGAGGTAGGTCGGCCGAGGGCGTTTGCTTGATCGCTGTAGCATAAAATGGGGTACGCGCGGTAAGATGCATAGAACTGACCCGTTAGATAATCAGGTCAAACTTTTTAAAAGGCAGTCTATTCCCGCTACTGCGTAATGTAATATTCTCTTGACAATTATCAATCAAATCATCTTTCTACCAAAGAGTGTCCTATCTTTCTTCACAGGTTATGACTTCACTGAACATCAGAATAGTATAGAAGTTAAATTTGACATATGATGAATATGGAAGAATTACCGCCGAGAACCTTTCCCATTTTCACAAGTGTTATGCGTCCGAGACTCTTCAACAGACCAGGTCCAGTTCAATCCAAAGTCATGCACAAAACAGACCTGCACAGAATAATGCAAAGATAGTTCACATGCCATGCACTAACGGAGTCAACCATCAACCATTGACCTTGTCCCTCACTTCGCAAACCATGTATGACAGCCTTGTCTTTCCTGAGACGTAAGCCCAACCCCCTCACATTTCTACAAAGGACCCTTGAGAGTGACCAGGACCATTTAGGCAATGACCACAGGTGACAGTTTTACTGACCACAAGGTTTGACTTTAGAGGTGGGTATCAAGTAAAAGGGAGAAAGTTGAATCGGTAACAACCGACCTGTTATCAAGAAATAACAGAAATTTGGGTCCTTTCTGTAGAACATCTTCCTTGAAATGCAGTAGATAAACAAGGACCTGCACACACACAGGTCAACAAAGATTCAACACCCCCACTCGATTCCTACACATTGACATCTAAGGGTCAAGCCCTTAGACATGGGTAGTGAGCTCTGGGATCGACACCCCAGGTCTAATCCCTAGTTTTCCTCTCACAACCCTACCCTAAGTCGTCCGTCACTCTCTCCTTTCTCTCAAGGAGTCTCATGCCTGTGTCCTAAATCGTCTTTAGGGAAACTCATATTTCCCCTACTCTCAGTCCTTGCATTTTCTCTCTCTGAAGTAAGCGCACCATTTTGGTGCTTATGTAGACGAGATATAACTCATTCATCATCGTGGTCTTCCATCCGGAAGCTATGGACAACTATGGACTGCGAGGTGATTCTTAAGTTTCTTTCTTCCGCGGTCCTATCTTCTTTCCTCGTTCCCTTTTAGGATACGTGAAGACCTTGCTCCAACAGGAGCATTGTTCTTTCCTTTCTCTTCAATTTGTCCTGACACACCCAAGTAGTAGATCGATTTAGATATAAATCTTCTGCTACTTGGTCAATACCAAGCAATCTGTTAGTCGAACAGACAGTCGAGTAAGTCGCACATGAGTATTGATCTCCCTTTTTAGCCCCACTTGATTTAATCAGAGTAGCAGGATAGCTCACACATGAGCATCCTTCCTACAACAAATAGTTGAGGCTCCTACAGAAGCACCCTACTACTTGCTTTAGGTATCGTTCTGAAAGATCCGGATGTCAGTCTTCTCCTAGAAGTTAATAACGGTCTGCATGAATATTAGGCGACCCGCACAAGAGCCCCCTACTATCACGTGACAAGGTCCTCTTCATGAGAGTATTACGATAATCCTGACAAGGGTATCTTGTTGCTCTTCGGAAGCTGACCGTCCTGAGACTGGGTTAGTTTGGACAAAAGACGAATGCTTAGGGTATTCCTACAGGAGTACCCTCTTAGTGAGTTAGTACAGAATCAAGTAAGTAATAGACTGACCCCAACAGAGGCCCCTCTACTACTTTTCTTGGGTAATGAGTAGTCTAACCGTTAAACAAGTAATAGGATGACTCCTACAGAAGCCTCCCTATCACCAGTCTGGTGGTCGAACTATCAGAGGGTAAGTAAGCTAGGAAAGGAAGAGTAGAAATGTGATTTCCTACTCTTTGTAGATTATTAGTCATCCTTAGACTCAAGCGTGTGAAGAGGACGACCGTCCCTGGAGCCTTCCTTATTATTTTGTAAGAGTCAGACCCCTCTTCCCGTCACGACGACAGTCGACCCGGTAGGGAGTAAGGTAACTCACACATGAGTACCTAGTTTACTTCATAAGTTAATGTTAGACATCCTTTCCCGTCACGACGACAACCGATCTGGTAAGGTATTGAGGCAACTCACACATGAGTGTCTAAGTTAGCTCATAGTAAGTGTCCGAACCCTTCTTCCTGTCATGACGACAGTCATTACGGTAGAGAGTACTTAGATTATCTCATAAGTATTCGTCAAATACCTCTTCCCGTTACGACGACCGCCGTTACAGTAGAGAGTGCCTATTTAGTTTATAAGTTATAGTCAGATACCTCTTCCGGACTCGACGACAGTCGTTACGGTAGAGAGTACCTACTTTAGTTCATCAGACACCCCCTTCCCGTTACGACGACAGCCGTTACGGTCGATCCCCCTTTTTCCCATCACGGCGACAGCCGACCTGGTCAGGAGTACTTGAATTAATTCATAAGTATTTGTTTGTATCCTCGTCCCTTCACGACGACAGTCGTTCCGGTAGAGAGCACTTAGATTATTTCATACGTAGTTGTTTGCACCCCCGCCCCCTCACGACGACAGCCGCTTAGGTAGAGAGTACTTAGATTAGTTTATAAGTAGTTGTTTGTACCCTCGTCCCCTCACGACGACAACCGCTCAGGTAGAGAGTACTTAGATTAGTTCATAGATTATCATTAGGACCCCCTTCCTGTCACGACGACAGTCGGACAAGCAGAGAGCAAGGTGACTCACACATGAGTACCTAATTGTCGACCTTTAGTCAAGTCAGCGCATACATAAGTAGTACAATAGTTCACACGTGAGCCTCCTCCGCCCTACTTCATTCTTCACGTCCAAACAGTCTAGGTTCCTTCTTAGTTAATTTAGGTTCCTTCCATTTCACCAGGCAGGATTCTTATTCCAATCATGTATCCTTTTCCCCTTCTGATTATCTTAGCCCTGAAGAAAGTACTAACAATATATCATGCAATCATACAGGCAGTCCAATAGAAGGGCGTAGCCTGTAAGGGTATATAGGAAAGTGTCACGTGATGCGTACCTCATAGTTCCCTGCCTCCAGAGTTCCTCCTGAACTCCGGCAGAGCTCCCGCAATCGTCCTGTATTAGGTCACATTTAACCTATGCCATTATCTGGCTGGTTCTTAAAGTTGGCAATAGCCAGGATTATCTCAATGGAACATACCATCAAACTGTTATGGCCGAAGAGATTGGTGTTTGAGGGGAAAAAAAAAAAACAAAAATGGGGAGGGTGGAGGAGGTAGACACCATCACAAAGAGATAATGTCCCTCTCCTCTCCAATGCCCCGCATCCTCTCCATCACTGACCCTGTTCCAACATACGATGTCCAATCAACAATAGTAAAATAATAATAATAATAATAATAATAATAATAATAATAATAATAATAATAATAATAATAATAATAATAATAATATCAATAAGCAAATAAAAGATAATATTTAATGGAAAATTATAATATTCATAATAATACCCAAAATGAGACTAGCGATAATAATAATAATAGAAATATCAAACATATCACTAATAATAGCGGTAATACTCCATCATTAGTTTGGAATGTCCTTCCAGCGAGCAAGTGATCAAGAAAAGGGAAAGTGCCTTCTTAATGCGACACTAGTCAAAGGCTCTCCTCTTTTAGTATCTTCTCTCTGCTGACTTTTCGCTCACCCTCGTTCTTACCCTTTCTCACCTTTCCTCTCTTTACCTCCCTCTCTCTTACGCTTCCTACTCCTTCTTCCCTGGTACCTCCCCCTTTTGTCTCATGCACTTATTTTCTTTGCCCTCGCGACACAGCCCTGCGGAAAGGTAACCTGCCTACTGCTCCGCATGCGTGCCCTTGGGGACCATGCGTGTGTATGCTTATGGTCCCAGCTGCCTGTAGAACTGGGCCTATATGCTTGTTGCCCCATGTATTTGTTATTAGGGCTG